TTTGCCCCATTCAAAACATCAAAATTTGAACCCTGACCTTGCTTAAGGGACCTAGTTCTTATCTCACTAGACTTATTGGTAGTTGGTTGAGAAGTGAAGACTAAAACTAGGTAAGGCTAACATTTTTATCGCCAAAATGTAATACAGACCACATAAGCAAAAATAATAAACAGATTGCTTGTAAAAATTTCATTGTGAGTAGCAGAAAAAACAAAAATATAGTGACACAAAGCACTGTTAGAAGTCTGAGTTAAATGGATATACATGAAACAAGAGATGAAAGAAACATCCTAAATGGTAAGAATAGAAGGTGAGGACGATAAGGGAAGAGAGAGGTATTAAGGAAAGGACAAAGGAGACAAACACACATGTGCACCAAGCTTCCACTGGAGATAATTCACTTGCCATGATTCTGCTGATCCATTCACATTCATGTCAAAACAGAAAATGCTCTTCTTTTCAAAAAGTACACAACCCTAGCAATTTCAGAAACTTATATCAAACCTATGTTTCTCGGACTCAGATTTGAGAGTTGGATACGGACATGTTTCCAACATGGTTATGTTCAATTTTCCCCAAGTTTTTTCATGTATTTGAAGGATCCTTGGAGGGTCATCTCCCATACCTATATCCAAATGTCCAAAATATGTTGGACACAAGTACGTCAAGGCCAAGCTAATGAAGAGTACGAGCTACACAGTATCAAACAACAACCTAGAAATACTTATTTCGCACCCTTCTAAACAAAAAAGATAAAAAGGGCCGAGATCTTCCTTACCAAATGCAGAACATCAATGGAAACAAGCCGGGCATCTAGACCTTCGATTGTTACCAACAGAACATTTCCGGCAACATCCGCTGTCGTTTTGTTATTTACAATTTCTTGCCTGTTAGAATATTGTAGGTAAACCGTTTTTCCCCTCACTTGTGCAGGCTCAGAAGAAGAAGCATAATATGATATCATAGCAATAGCCTGATTCAAATCAGCCTATAAAAAAACAATAAACAATGCATAATTAGTAACAATATTGAGATAATAGATAAATTCGGAACAAATATTTAAAAGAATTTCAGATTAAATTTACGAATTCAATGAAAGCTTGATTGCGATTGGCTCCAACATTGCACTTTGTGTTAACGATCTTCCCGAATGGCTTGCCCAGTTCGATCAACTCTTCCTCCGTACACTCCCATGGCAAGTTCCTCAAATGCAGCACCTTGGACGGTGGTTAACGGAACTGCGGCTGACTTGATACGGAGGCCATTCAGTTCAGCAACCAACCCGTTAAAATCTACACCCAAAAAAAATGAAACCCTAATGCCCAAAACTTCAAAATATAACAACACTAAACTTTTGGTATATCGATGAAAACAAGCGAAGCACGAAAAATTGAAGAAAATGACGCCAACCAGAAAAATAAAGGGATAGACTCCCTAAACTTAACAAATTTTCTTAAATTAATCCTTGAACTCTGTTTTGTCCATATATTAGTCCATGAAATTGACAACTTTTTCATTTTATTTTTTTTATTAATATAGGGTGATTACAATTGGTAGTATTTGTTCTAAAGACTCTCACCTATTTGACAATGAACGTCCAAATATCCCGCAGTTATTGGTGCTCGAACTTAAAATCTCTAGGGATAATAACATCTCTTTAACCACTAGAATTGTTTTATTTGTGCTTTATTTTAATTTTTTGATTATATCATAATTTAACATTATACTACATGGAATGCTATTATAGTAACACACAAAAATAAAAAAAAATATATTAAAAAAATTAAATTCAAGGATCAATACGAGTAAAATATTTTTTTTGTTTGCTTAAATGGTGGATTGGTTGGTTTTTTCCCAGGGGTCAAGGGTGTTAGGCAAGAGGACCCTTTGTTCTTTATTTTGGTGATGAATTTTTTATCTGGGTTATTAAATATTACGGGGAAGTTTGGTGTGTTTGGTTTTCACCCGAAGTGTAAAATGTTTGGGCTTACACATATTTGTTTTGCTGACGATCTTTTACTTTTTACGAAAGGAAATGTGAAGGATCTGGTGGGCGTGAAGAAAGTTATGCAAGTCTTCTATCATATGTCTGGGTTGCATATGAATAATTCGAAGAGTGAGATTTATTGTGCATGAATTAGTTCTGTTGGGGTATATCAACTGGGAGAGAGTACTGGTTTTTGTGTGGGATCTCTCCCACTAAGGTACTCGGGTGTTCTTCCAGTTGCTAGGAGCCTCACTTTCTCTGACTCTGAAAGCCTGATTGGAACAATTGTTGGGAGGATTAGAAGTTGGACTGCCAAATGTTTATCCTTTGCAGGTAGATTGCAACTCATACAAATTATCTTGTTTAGTATCCAGAATTTCTGAAGTAAGATTTTTCTGTTGTCGGACAAGATTAGTAAACAGATTGAAAGACGATGTAACTCTTTTTTCTAGAAAGGAACAGAGGGTTCAACTAGGGGAGCTTGGGTTAGTTGGGAGAGAGTCTGTCACCCCAAGTGTGAAAGTGGACTTGGGTTGAAGAATATTTTAGTGTGGAATCGAATTTGTACAATGCGATGATTATGGTTCATCCTTGTCAAAGCTGGCTCGTTATGGTTGGCATGGATTGAGAGTTATGTTCTGAAGGGATGTTCCGTTTGATAGGTTCTGTTAAGAGACAATTATAGTTGGGATTGGAGAAAAGTGTTGAAACTACGTGATGAATTTTCCTATGTGGGGTCCTTGATGGGAAATTCCAGGCTAGAAAGGTTTGGGATGCTCTTCAGCATAGGCTTGCTAGAGTTCCTTGGTTTAGAATTCTTTTGGGGGGTCTTTCGGTCCCTCGCCATTCTTTTATTGTTTGGTTGGTAATTTTGGATCGATTGCCAACTAGGGTTCGTATGCTCTATTGGGGTCATTTGAATTCTATTTGTATTTTTTGTGATGGGGGCGATAAAACCAAGGCCTATTTATATGTAGAATGTGATTTTTCGAGGGATGTTTAGGGAGGGTTATGTATGCTTACCAGGGTCATGGAACTATTGTTAGTTGGGGAGATATGCTCTGTTGGGTTCAGGATTAGGGTAGGGGTAAATCCTTGAGGGTTACTGTTACTCGGGTGCTTGATATAGTTACCTCTATTATATTTGGCAGGAGAGGAATGGCAGGATTCATGGGGTGACTCTTAGGCAGGTGGAGAACATGGTTTTGTTGGTAAGGAGAACAGTGGGTTTGAGATTAGAGGGGAGTATCAATGTTGCCTTGGCCTCCTCTACTCTTGTTGTATAATGGAAGCTGGCTTAACTTTGTTGTCTTGTGTTTCTAGTGTTGACTGTTTGCGTTTACTTGTATTATTGGTTTTTGATTAGTCTGGGTTGATTTTTTTTCTTTTTCTTTTTTCAGGTTCTATTGTTAGCTGGTGCTTGGTTTGGGGTTGTATATTTGAATTTACTTTGGTTGGTTTTTTATTAGTTTGGGTTGATTTGTTTGTTTGTTTTTCTAGGTTCTGTTACTTGCTGGTGATTGGTTTGGTGTTGTATATTTGAGGTTACTTTGGATGAATAAATTCTTTCATTTATCCAAAATAAATAAATTTAAGGATTCAGTTTAAAAGTTATCACTTTTAGAGATTAAAAATTATTTTATTCCAAAGAAATAAATAAAAGGATAAAAAAAATTGTTCTTTAAACTTTGTAAAAAGTTAAACCTGAAGGGATATATTTAATGATATTTACTTTCAAAAGATCATCTATAATAGATAAATAACAAATAACTTTTTTATATGACGGGTCAAATAAAAATCTAGATGTACTCATCCATACATATCCATATAAGCAATATAAAAAATAAAATAAAATAGAGCAACTAAATGTTTTACATTTATATTAACCTAAAATGTAAATGTGGTTGATAACACTCTTTTAGCTCAAGAATTGGTTAGAGGTAACATTATGAAGAACATTTCCCATCGATGTTCCCTGAAAATTGATCTTCACAAGGCCTTTGACTCTTTAAATTGGGGATTCATCTATGCTATTTTGAAAGCCATTAGTCTTTCAAGCATTTTTGTTAACTGGATTGAAATATGATTCCCTACTCCTAGATATTATGTTTCTTTCAATGGAAGCTTAATTGGCTATTTCAAGGGAGCAAAAGGTATAAGACAGGGTGACCCCTTATCCCCTCTTTTATTTGTTCTCTCTATGAACGTTCTCTCAAAGCTCTTAAATCTAGCAGCTGCTAAAAAAATCTTTGGTTACCACCCAAAATGTAAAAGAATTGGACTTACTCATCTCTCCTTTGCTGATGATCTTCTTGTATTCTGCAAAGGGGCTGTTGATTCTGTTCTTGGGGTAACAAGTGTTCTTGACTTGTATTATGAAATGTCTGCCTTAGGCTCAACACCTCTAAATGCGAGTTATTTGTTGTTAGCATGACCTTATCCACTTCTGAGAACATTAATCTTCTCACTGGTTTTAAAATTGGTTCTCTTCCAGTTAGGTATCTTGGCATTCCTTTAATCACAAGGAAAATATATGAAAAAGACTGAATGGTCCTCATTGAAAGCATAAAGGCTCGGCTGCATCTTTGGTCTACTAAAAATCTTAGCTATGCTGGTAGATTGGAATTAATCAGAGCAGTTTTATTTAGCACCAGTAGTTATTGGTGTAGACAATTGTTTATGCCAAACTCTGTACTTAAGAGGATTGAACAATTATGCTCCCGATTTTTCTAGAAAGGAGCCGACATATCTGCTTATGGATCCCGTGTAGGATGGAAAAATATATGCTTGTTGAAATCTAAGGGGGCTTGGAATTAAAGACTTACAGACCTGGAACAAAGCTTGTATGCTCCTTCTTATCAAGAAAATTCTTGCAGGTGAAGGCTCACTATGGGTCGCCTGGATTAACTGCTATGTTCTTAAAGGTAACAAATTTTGGAATGCAGAAATTAATTCTTCAACCAGCTGGAGCTTAAGGAAAATATTTAAATTAAGGCACGAGGCTTTTGCTACTATGTCTGCTGCTGCAATCTCAGTGAGAAGTATATGGGATGCAATTCGGTTAAAGAGACCCCTTGTAATATGGAAGAAAATTATCTGGTTTCCCCTCCATATATCAAAACACGGCTTAATTTCTTGGATGGCTTTACTTGATCGTCTCCCTACTAAAGATAGACTTCTTCGTATGGGGCTTATCAATGATAGACTTCTTTGTATGGGTCTTATCAATGATTGCCAATGCATGTTTTGTGATGAACCATTAGAAATTAGGGATCACTTGTTCCTCAATTGTCCTATGGCTGACTACTTGTGGAACTCAATCTTCTCTCTTTCTGGTCTTCGATTCAGAACTCGTTCTTGGGATTCTTTTTTGGCTTGGGCCTGCTCTTATCGGAAAGGTAAATCTTTGCTTACTTCCATAATGAAGCTTGCTCTTAATGATCTGATTTACTTTATTTGGGAAGAAAGGAATAAGAAATTGTTTCAAGGTCGATCCAGAAATGCGCCAGATTTGCTTTGAGCCATCAAGGACACTGTTGGATCACAACTTAGGTGTAGATATTTAAATAGCATTGATAGTGTAAATACTAATATTTGTATGCATTGGGACATTGTTTGATTTTGATTCTTTTGTATGTAGTTTGTCCTAATGCTTTCAGAACTCTGATTTTTGTAACAGGTTCTGTTCTTGAGTAATAAAATTTAATTATCAAAAAAAAATGTAAATGAGGCTCTTTATTATTTATTTATAAGCGGTTCGTTCAACTCTCTTTGGAAAATCTTGCTTGGTGGTACGGTTAGAGCGCAGAGAGTGAGCTTCAAGCAATTATAGAAGCATTTTGAGAAATTAACAAATCCACCTGCTGTAAGTTGAGATGTGGCCCTAATTGCAAAACTCCTCAACACCAGTGACGGTCTTATTTTCTCCGTCATTATCCTTTTTTCCTTAGCGATATGAACGTATACATGTGTATATAAATCTGACTAACTTTCAAGCTGGGACAAATAAATTTTAGATTATACATATTTGGAAAGTTTTTTAATACAGAATCACACAACGGGATGTTTTTAGTATGATAAATTTGATTTGATTTTTTTTATTTATGACCTCGAATTTATTATTTCGAAAAAATGTTTTTAATATTTAATATTTTAAAGTATTTTTAGGACTTGTTTTTTTATTTTAAATTTCATGTTTCAGATCGATTTGTACATTTTGACCAAAAATGTTTTTAAAATATTTTTTATTTTTAGGTACTTCGATAAAAAATTAAATACTTTAAGTACTTATTTTAACAAAAAAAACAACTTTAGACACTTATTTTAATCAAGCTCGTTTTGAGTACGCTTGACTTTCTTTGTTTGGGTTTTCTAGCTTTGCATTGCTTGCGCGTCCTCCTTAGTGCTTTTGAAGTATCCATTGAAATATCTCTGTTAGTGCCCGGTTTCCACAAAGCATTGCCCTTCCTAGCTGCATTAGGAGACCTATATATAGATCGTGTGTGCTTTCTCTCTGATCGAATGGTACCTTGTAGAGCGACCTCTAAACATTAAAATGACGATTTCTGTCTGAAAAGCGTTCGATAAGTCAGTGGCCGATCCGTGGCTGGTGATTAAAATTTGGTGGTTCGACAGACAGATGGGACATTCGCACTGAAGTAGATTTCCCTAGCACCTTATCAGTCCCCTGTGCAGAAGCTGTGTGATGAAATTGATGTGGAATTAACCCATGTCAATTAGGTATTTAAACTTAGTTTTAATATTCAATTTGATATTTTTTTTGTTCAATTAGGTATCTGAATTTGACTTTTCGATCTAAATTTATATCTAAATTTGGCTTCATGGTTCAATCTTATTTAAATAAATCGTTTATCTTAAGTACTAATATAGTAAAAAAATCAACTTCGAATTCTAATTCAAATCAACAAGTTAAATTTATGTATCTAATTGAACTCAAAACAATAGATACCACATTAAACCTTATAATCAAGTTTAGATACCCAATTGGACAAACCAAATTTATGCGTTAAATTGCATATTAAAGTTAAGTTTATATACTAAAATATATATATTTAACCAAAAATTTAATATCATTGAAATCAATAATAGAATTAAATAATAATTTACTTGATGATAGAGTACAAAATTACTAGAATAATGTTTAAATAAATTTAAGAAATATCAAATTGTTGAATTGCATGATTGGTATAGTAATCATGGACGAAGCCCACAAAATTTATTGCAGAAAAAGGGTACCAAGTTGTTCACATCATTGTGATTGGGTTTGAAGCAATTCCTAAAACCATTGAGAATGAACATTCATGATTAACAAATCAAATGTTGAAATTCTCTCAAATAATATTAAAAAATAAGTTCAAACTAATCTATGTGGTTGGTTCAAGTGATAGATAGCTTGATTCTGCTTAAGCAAGTCATGAGTTCGAATCATTGTGAATGCAAAAAATCATCATTGGGAGATTCACCCACCAAAATTAGGTGTACGATATTGGTCGGTCTTTTGAGAGTATAAGAAGAGCGACACTCCTTTTTGTTATTGAAAATATTTGATGGATTTAAGATTTAGGGTTTATTAGTTCTCTGACCTTCATTTGATAACCTAAATTTGAGATGGAATTAAAAATCAATTAAAGTGATTGGTCTGGTATAATCTTTCATCATTGGTTTGAAGTGGATTATCATCATTCAAAATGCACCCACGAGCCGAGTTGCAAAATCCAACTAATTACTTATACAAACAAATAGAAAGCACTAAAATAGATTTAAAGACCAAAAATTTTCTTATCAAGGGAAAAGAAAAAGTTGTCTTAAAAAGAAATAATCATCCGTGAATAGAAGGTAAGATTTGGAAAATATTGTAAAAAGGAAAAAAATAATGATTTAGGCTTAATCGGAAAAATATCTTTTACATGTATTTAATAAAATTAGTGATTTATTTTAAAAATTATTAGTCGAAAATGACTAAATGAAACCGGGAAGAAGAATGATCAAAGTCGTCACACATGCAGATTACACTAATTTCCCTACACGAATCAAGCAATTTTAACAGTTAAAGGGGTGATTGTTATCTTTAGAGATTTCGAATTCGAGAACATCATCTATAAGGGTGTTTGAATGTTCGTTGTCAACAAGATCAGACACATAATTTTGTATTAGAGGAGTGAACTTATAAAATGTTAGGAGACATGAAATCATAATTTTAATAAAAGAATAAAGAAGAAAATATTTAAAATATACAAAAATTTAAATTTTTGGGGCGCCCTCACCCGCCTTAGGCCCTTCTTTGATTATCCAATGATTGATAATTTTTTAAATATATATTATATTATAACCACGTTTTAAATATAAAAAAAAAACAATTTCATTCTTTTGGGCAACTTTTGAACCTGAAAAATAACATTTAATCAACTGCATCCTTCCTGTAAAACTCAGTTGTTTGGCTGACCTACTTTTAAATCTCACAATTAAGTATAGCATCACGAAACTTGTAAAGAATATTGATAGAGATGACAAACATCTAGGGTGATCCTGCGTTACACCTGGCCAAAATAGAGCTTAGAGTAACAAATAGAATAATATTATTTTTCACATTAAATATGTTTATTTTGAATTTTTAAAATTATTTTATTAAAAAATTAATAAATAACAATATTTTATTTTATTTTATTTTTATATGTCTTATTTATATATCTATCGAAATAAAACGAATAAATTTATTAGTTATTTTTTAAAAAATAGTTTTATCATTTGTTTTAATTAAATATATATTTTAAAATTATATAAATAATCAATATAAGACATGAAAAAATTATCATAAAACACATTTTCCTTGCACAAACGCTCTTTGACTTAGGAGAGATCAAATCAAAAAGGTAAGATGTAAGCCGAACATTATGTAATATGATTTGTCATTTCGTTTGGTGGACTGTTTTGTATTATATATTGAGAAAACAACATCAGTGATTAAAAATGTCTTATAATATACGATTTTAATTAATTTTTTTTGGATTTGCCAAAATGACCAACTAAATCGCAATGCGATCGATAATTCGTAACGCGATCTCCGATATCACAAATCAGTTTCCAGATTCGCATTGCGATTTACGTAATCGCATTGCGATTTCCCAAATTCGCGTTGCGATTTTCCTAATTCGCAATGCGAATACGTAAATCGCAATGCGAATTTGGAAAATCGCAATGCGAATACGTAAATCGCAATGCGATTCTGACTATCGCAATACAATTTACATAGCGCCATTCATATTAACGCGTATTTTTTTCAAATTCCAAACACGAATATATTAATATATCGGAACACTGAACCGTCCACAATATATCCCATAATTGCAACTCATAACCTAAAACCCTAAATCACAACTCAGTATCATCTCCATCTCTCACTCTCTAAGGCGACATCCGTCCCCATCTCCGACGAAATCAGTCCCCATCTCCGACGAAATCAGTCCCCATCGCCGACGATATCAGTCTCCATCTCCGGCGAAATCATTCACGGTCAGAAATGAAAAATCAACCAAATCAACCACCGAGGGTTAGTTTTTTTAATTATTTTTATTTTGAAATTTTTGCATTATTATTAGGTTTTTCATATTGAAATTGATGATAAGTTTACTGGTGTTTTCAATAATAGATTAACCATTTCACTTAGATTGCTTATTATATTCATTCGATTGCTGCCAATACTGCTAAACTGTTTAGTCTTTAACCATGTGAAGTTAGTATTTATCTTTGTTTTGTCTTTTGGTTGAAGTAATGCAATCCATTCAAGTTTCTTTCAATTTTAGTATTTGAAACCGAGAATGACTATCGCAATGCGATTCTGTCGTTGTGATTTTCATTTCGCGTTGCGATAGTCAAATTCGCGTTACGATAGTCAAATTCGCGTTGCGATAGTCATTTTCGTGTTGCAATTTTCATTTTCGTGTTGCGATTTAAAGTTTCAGAAACTATTCTTCTTCTGCAAATTGAAACTTGAATGAATTGCATTACTTCAACCAAAAAACAAATACTAAATTCACAGTGTTGCAAATTTAAGTTTGAAGAATAAACTACTACTCTTTATGTTTATTGTTTATATCTTCACAATGTAGTTTTTGGTATATCTAAATTGGTATGTTTATTGTTTTTGCAGAACTTTTATTCGGCTCAATTGACCTTAAGAAATAAAGTAAGCCTGGCCAAAACAATTACGTCGAAGCTTTCACCTGCACAAAGAAAAATATTTGAGGATACTTGCTTCGGGCCATGGCTGAAAGTACAACATCCGGGTGGAGATGCTATGTTGACCCATCTGTTTCTTCAAACCATGACTAGCGATCTACCAGAAACTATACAACGTCGTGATGAAGAGATATGGTTTGATTTTCCACCGGCGTATACGTGTTTTGGGCGGGAGGAGTTTTGCTTAATCACCGGTCTACGCTTCGGACACGATGATGTAGATCGGTACACTAGACATATTACTCGCCTATCATGGTTTTCCCG